GCATGCTCACTATCATATAAAGCTCTCCACTGCAGTGGCTGAATTTTATTGTTCAATATTTACAAAGGTATATAAATGTTCCTGACTGAGCATGGGCAGCAGACTGCAGGAACACAGCTCGCCACACACAGGGCCACTCTCGGTCCTCTCGGTCCACGACTGTCACGGTCACTGTTTGGCGGGAATAAACAGCGCGCAAAAAACGCGCGTTCAATCTTCTATGCAAACGGCAGTAGAACATCTGGTAAATGAAATGACCAAGTGTTCCGGTATTCCTCCGGACCAAATTGAAACTACGCACACATGAGTATGGAGTTTCACTTAGTAATGAAGGTGCTCGCAATGTAGGAAGACTATGGGATACTCACAAGTTAGGGACTATATACTTGTCAGATAGATGTTCATATTCTACAAATTATGATGATTTTAGTTTGGCAGATTGATTTGATTTACTGTGTGCACAGCTTAATGTGGGAAAAGGGGTGCAGTTTAGTGTATTTGATGATTTATGGGACTAGTGACATCAATGTTATGGGAGCCAGATATGACTATGATAGACTTGATTACTCTGCGAATTACAGTGATTTTTGCGAGACCATGCAATGTCTGTAGCTTGTGTGGCAATAATTTGGTGGTTTGTGGCCCCGGTGGCACTTTTAGGCACAACAAGAGATCAAATAGCAATGGAAGGGCCACTAGGCTTGACTATCACATGGATTGTTGCACAGCAACATGCAAAAGCCACTTCTAAGAAGCACAATTGTGCTTCTTTTGCTTCTTCTGGGCTTCTTTTGCAAATGCTGGAGATCCCCAGGGTGAGATGTGTACTGTGATGATGTTTCTGCTGTCTATGCTACTCAAATGTTGACAGCAGAAACATCATCGGAGCCCATAAGCTGTCCTTTCCCTCTATGTGCCACTTGGGCCACAAACTGTTAAATCATCGCCACACAAGCTACAGACATCGTACAGTCTCGCAAAAATGACCATAATTCGCGTAATATTCGAATCTGTCAGAATCATATCTGACACAAACAGTGATGACATCATAAGCTCTGCAATTCATCAAATACGCTAAACTGAGTGAAGAGGGGGCCCAGTTTAGCATATTTTGTGAATATCGGAGCAAATGTCATCATTGGCATGGGAATCAGACATTTGCCAGATATATTTAAATTTCCCCGAAATTATGCTCATTTTTACAAGCCTGTG